GGGGGTAGTATGGGACCTCTCATTCAGGAGGAACATGCAAGATTGGGAGATTGCAGATCTTCAAGTCTTGTTGGCACTGCTATACGGGCAAGACATACTCCAGCCGTCCTGCGACTCTTGGAGATGGGGCTTGCGTGGCGATGGTTTGTTCACCGTAAAGTCCTTTTACCAGAGTATGTTGGTGAGAGAGGAGATCACTTTTCCATACTCCTCGATCTGGATTCCTAGGGCGCCCACGAAGGTGTGCTTTTTTGCATGGCTAGCGGCAAGGGGAGTGATATTGACTGCTGAAAATCTCCGAAAGAGGGGAATTACACTTGTTAGTTGGTGCTACATGTGTAAAAGCTCTGGGGAAGAGGTTGATCACCTTATGTTGCATTGCCCTGTGTCCTCTGCATTGTGGAGGTCAATCCTGAATCTTTTTGGTGTTCAATGGGTGATGCCAAGCACTGTAAAGGAATTGTTATATAGCTGGGGCGATTTTCGTAGAAGAAGAAAGCAAAAGGCGTGGAAATTTGCCCTGTTAGCTCTCATGTGGGTAGTATGAGGGGAGAGAAATAGGAGAGCTTTTGAGGAGATTGAGTCTCCTTTTTCACATCTTAAGAATAGTCTTTTATCTTTGATCGCTTTTTGGTGCACTCATTTAGCCTCTACTTGTATAGAAGATTGGGCGTCTTTTGTAGAGAATCATGTTCTGATATAAATTCTCTACGTCTTTGGTATACTTTGTATACACGGGAGTTCTCTCCCTTTTGATTAATATAATTTACCTTATCAAAAAAAATAATTCCACTTGGCTCAAGTCAGTTATAGGCTAGATTCCTTTTTCCTTTATAAATTCATGCTCTTGTACAGTGTCCAACACATGAAATATTGAAGAAAGATTTTCTGGAATTCAGTATTCCTTCATGGTATCAGAGCTTAATTCCGAGGTTAAAATCATTAGATCAGACAATGCTTTTGAATTAGGAACTGGAAATATTCAGTCAGATTTCCTTTCTTCACAAGGAATTATTCATCAGACCAATTGTGTGTACACCCCACAACAAAATGGTATAGTGGAGAAGAAGCACAAACATTTATTAGAAACATCTAAGGCACTACTGTACCAGTCACATTTACCTGTTTCTTTTGGGGAGATTGTTTATGCAACCTACCTAATCAACAGATACCCTTCCAGAGTCTTACATTTAAAGACCCCTTATGAGGTCTTGTTTAAGGTCAAGCCTGATTACTCTAACATTAGGTGTTTTGGTTGTTTATGCTTTGCTTCCACTATTACCAATCACATAACAAAACTTGATCCTAGGGCAGTACCTTGTGTTTTCCTTGGGTATCCACATGGCAAGAAAGGTTATAAAGTGCTTAACCTTAAAGCTCTTAAGACTACCATTTCTAGATATGTTGTGTTCCATAAGGAATTCTTTCCCTTTGCTTCTATAAACTCCCCTACTACAAGTCATCATGTTTTGCCCCTTGCTCAACCAAGTCACTCACCTAGTCCAGTTCCTGATTTTTTTACCTAAAACTTTACCTATCAGTTCACATTTCATTCCTAATTCTCCAAGTCCTACACCTCAATCCATTCCTACTCATCTGTCTACTCCTAGATCATCCCCTATTCCATCATCTTCTAGATCCCATATCTCAGGGACTAATACTCCTATTTTCCACCTCTAGATTCTGAACCTATGATGTATGCTCTCATTAGAAAATCTTCAAGGCCTCATAATCCACCTTGCTATCTTAAAGATTATACATGCAATGCACTCCAGCTCACAGATGTAAGTAGTTCTTGTTTCCTCACTCCTGTCACACCAGATTCACTATCCTTTAGTAGACTTTCCTCTTCAAATCAACATATGCTTAATTATCTACCTAATGTTCAAGAAGCAACTGGTTATAGTTAGGTTGCACATCACCCAGGATGGCAGGAGGCTATGGCAAGGGAAATTGAGGCTCTTGAGCTCAACAAAACTTGGGAGGTAGTTGAACTACCCCTGGTAGGAAAGCCTTGCCATGCAAATGGATGTACAAAGTTAAACAACATTCGGATGAAAGTGAAGAACAATTGAAAGCAAGGCTAGTCATTATAGAGTACATACAAAAGGAAGGAGTGGACTTTACTAAAACATTTTCACCAGTGGTCAAGATGACCACCATCAGGTGTATACTTGCTACAACAGTAAAAAGAGTTTGGGGTTTGTATCAATTAGATGTGGACAATGCGTTTCTACATGGAGACTTGCACGAGGAAGTCTATATGAAATTCCCAGTAGGAGTTATCCCACCATCTCCTACACATGTCTGCAAATTGAAAAAGTCACTTTATGGACTTCGTCAAACTTCGGGACAATGGTATGCTAAGCTCACCAATGCCCTAAATTTTAAGGGTTTCACTCACTCGTTAAATGACTACTCCTTGTTCTTTAAAAGGTCAAATTCCTCTATCTCTATTGTAGTTGTCTATGTCGATGATATCTTACTAACATGTAATGATACAACAGAATTACAAGCACTAAAAGATTTTCTTCATCAAGAATTTAGAATCAAGGATCTTGGGGACTTACATTTTTTTTTCTGGGTATGAAGATGATCCGCGGAACACAGGGATTGATCCTTTCACAAAGGAAGTTTACCCTTGATCTCCTCAAGGAATTTGATGCAATGCAACTGGTTTCTGTTTCTTCTCCGCTTGATCCAACAACTAGACTTCTTGCTAAGACAGGGGATCCTGTAAAGGACCCTACTTTGTATCGTCATTTGCTTGGAAAATTGAATTACCTGACACATACCAGACCAGATTTATCTTTCACGGTCCAGCACTTGAGCCAATACACGCAGGACCCCAGGAAGCCCTATCTTGATGCTGCTTATCGCGTGCTTCGATATTTGTTGAAGGATCCTGGCCTTGGTCTTTTTATGTCATCTTCATCCTCTTTTCAGCTCTTGGCATTTTGTGATTCGGTTTGGGCGACTTGTCCAGATTCGCGCAAATTAGTTAGTGGCTTTTATATATCGCTTGGAGCTTTGTCATACCTCAATTTCTCTTAGTTCTGCTGAGGCCGAACATCGCTCAATGCGACAAGTGATTGCAAAACTTACTTGGCTGGTCCGTCTCTTTGAGGATCTTTCTATTCCCATAACACTTCCGGTTCCCTTACACTCAGATAGCTAAGCAGCGATACATATAGCGAAAAACCCCGTGTTTCACGAACGGACAAAACACGTTGAGTTAGACTGCCACTTTGTCTGGCAACAGTTCTTGTCCGGTTTGATTTCCCTCTCTTTTGTTCGATCTTCGTCTCAAATGGCGGATCTCTTCACAAAATCGCTCCCACGACCTCATCATCATAATCTCTCGGGCAAGTTGGGGGTGTTTTCTCCCCCCTCCAACTTGAGGGGGGTGTTGGTGGTAATTTCTCTCCGATGAACGTTTCTGATGGTTTCAAGGTCAAGGACAAAGAAGTAGCTAGGGTTTGATGTTGTTGTCTGAAAATGTACACATACACACTTGTCCGTTGAATTCAGAATGGGTCTCGTTATTGGACTGAGTTGGGATGAGCTATTGGGCCTAATTTCTTGGGCCGTTTTTCCTTGTGAGTGTTTGAGATTTGTTTTCTGCAGAGCATTGTTGAGCCCAGTACTAGAAGATTTTTTACAGCTGTTTATATATTGTAAATAATTATTTCATGTATTTATCCGTTAGGTGGTTAGATTTAAGCAATAGAATAATGCCACTTGGCTCAAGTTAGTTATAGGCTAGATTACTTTTCCCTGTATAAATTCATGCTCTTGTACAGTGACCAACACACGAAATATAGAAGAAAGATTTTCTGAAATTTAGCATTCCTTCAGATTTATCATTTTTAAATAAATTTCACAAAAGAGTAAACAACAACAACAACAACCCAATATAATCTGAGACTCGAACTCACAACCTCTTAATTGAAAGTGGAAGGTGCTCACAACTAGAGCAACCGACTCATATCAACCTCTGATTTAACTCCGATAAAGCTTTTACTTCTTTTTTTTACTGCATTGAATATTTAACTCTTTCTACCTATTTGCCAACCAAACAAGAGAAGGTAAAGTTTGAAACTCTCTCTTCTTTCCTCCTCCCTTCTTTGTGAGGAAAGGATTAGACTATCTTCTCATAAATGACCGGTCTATTACTAATTATCATCCAAATATTTAAATCATATAAACTATACATGAGCCTATACTTTTCTCGTTCAGTGAACACCCCACGTTTGTTTATGTTATTCCAGATTACTTATCTTGATTAACTTCACATCCTCATGAAAAACAGATCGACATTTAGCTCTCCGCTGCAGTAATGGTTGCTTGTTGGGCGTACATAGCAGTTGCAACTACATGGGTAGTATGTGTCAGGCCAAAGAAGATATTGCAAACATGCAGTTATCTTCAATGAGTTCCGCGGATTGATAATGAGACCAATACTCCTTCACAAGTTGCCCGAAGAGCGAACCTTCTTGTTTCATCAGCTTCATTGGTTCATCATACTCCACTAATTTCCCTGTATTCACAACCAAAGTTAAAGTCACTACAGCTAAAACATTCTGGGATTAGCATGTTTGAAAGTCTTAACGTAGTCGTGTGTAAAAGAAAACAAACAAGTCTTACCATCACTAATGGCCATAACCATTGTACAATCCATTACTGTAGGTATCCTGTGGGCAACTGTAATTACAGTACTGTTAGAAAATTCTGTCCTGATAGTTTTCTGCAATATCATATCAGTGGCATTATCGATCGATGCAGTTGCTTCGTCAAGTACCAAAATCTTGCTTTTCCTCAAAAGAGCACGTCCCAAACAGAACAACTGCCGCTGCCCCATGCTCCAGTTTGATCCATCTTCCACAACTGAAATAACTCTTCAATGGTTAACAGAAACCTACTTGGATAAAATAATCATACCTGCTGCTGGAAAACTTACCCAATGAGTTAAGCCCCTTTGCTTTTTCTTCAACTGCCTCTTTTAGCTGACATTTTGCAAGAACCTTTCCAGTGGAGATGACATGAATGAACGCAATAAATCAGAAGATCGCTTTGGTACAATGCACATTCTCCGTCTAGTGCAAAAAAAAAAAGAAGGCCAAATACATATTAAGTTAACTTACGTCCCATATTTCCTCATCAGTACGCTGATATAAGGGATCCAAGTTGTATCTTACTGTTCCATTGAAGAGTGTAGGGTCCTGAGGTATAATCCCGAATTGGGACCTTAAATCATGAAGACCGATTTTAGAAATGTCAATTTCATCTACCAATATCCTTCCACCTGCTNTCAAAATCCTTCCACCTGCTGGTTCCACTAATCGAAATAGGGCCCCGATGAGTGTAGTCTTGCCACTCCCAGTTCGCCCAACAATACCAATCTTATGACCTCCTTCAAACGTACAAGTGATCCCCCTTAGAACAAGAGGGGAATCTTCCCTATATTTGATCTGTTTTGGAGTATACTTATCAGCATCTTGATCAGTTCTAAATACAAGAAAATTAGGGTGGTGAGAAAAAATTTACCTGCAAATCTTGAATTTCAACTTTACCCCTCGTTGGCCAATTGACTGGTGGACGGTTCTCTTTAACAATTTCAGGAGCTTCACTTGGAATGTGCATATACTGGTTAAGTCTTTCTACAGAAATTATGTAATTTGCTAGCCTGCACTGGATTTGAATGGAAGCAACAAGAGACATGTTTAAGGAAAGACCATAGGACAAAGCCATTCCAATAAATCCTGCAAAAGAATAATAGCCTGTTATTAGAAATCTCCTGTTTAACATTAGGCAAAAGGTTAAGGAACAATAATATAGAATTCTTTATTCGAGTCCCAAGATTAATATTTATCATGGCATACCTGAACTGAAAGTCCCTGGAGGAAGCAAAACCATGCAAAGTGCCGAGGATGCAAGAAAAGTTGCACTAATAGTTTCCAATCGTTGAATCAACCACTCATTTGCTGCAAAATTGTGGAAAAACGGACTGGCATTTATATCAATTAGCTCAAAAGTCTTCATAAAAAATCTGTCTTCCTCTTTGAATGCCCTTATAGTCACAGCTCCGGCAATAGATTCAGCAAGATGGTTAGCCACAAATGATTTGGTAGTACCATTTATCCGCATCAACACTTTGGCAGATGCATAGTAGTATTTCTGCCATGAGTAAGAGAGAGTTTTAAGTCTCAATTTACCAGTTACTGTTGGCACAAGAATAGTGTTGCAGAGAATTAAAGCTTTAAAATCCTACAACCCTTGCCAGAGAATCATATTTCCGGACTATTCAGTTTGGAGGCATAGAGCGTAAAAGAAATGAAAAGTTAAAAATTTGTTTAACAGTAACAAATCCTGTCCTACTTTCATACAGTGGGCAGAGCCATGCAACTCAAATACAGGATGTTGAGATAAATAAAACAGTCAACTCTTACCTGCAACTGAATGGCAAGAAAAACCATTGGGATTGAGAAAACCAGAACTTGCCAAGTGACAGCAGTTAGCACTGTAAGATTAGCATAGAAGTTTGTGGTAGATCCAAAAGCGAAAATCAAGTTGAAAGGAACATCAAGATCAACTATACTCAAATCTGATGAGACCTGCATACACGGGTTTGGGGTAGTGGAGAGATAGCAAAAATGGTTAGGTCCATAAACATAGTATCAATGTTATAGCTTGTATTTCAATGTTCATGTTTGAGATATTTACCCTGCTAAATATCCTTCCCAAAGGTGTAGAGTCATAAAATGACATAGGAGCACGGAAAAGAGAATTTAATAGCTGCGAGAACAAGGAATTTGATGATTGCAAACTCAAAAAGACCGTCAATAGAGATCGAGATAGCAAAAACAATGTTGATACAACACCAATTAGCAAGTAAACTACAATAAGCCTCAAAGTGCTAACTTGGGGATTATCAACATTTGCAGCCATCCAGGAGTTCTGTGATATCTGACCAACCACATATGTTATGAAGGAGAGTACAGCCATGACAAAGAAGAAGTACCCTTTGTTCTGATTTAGATACTGAACATAAGGCTTAAATCCAGTATCTCCGACTTCTCTCTCTTCTTGCTTAATCAGCTGATCACCTACAGAGGCTATAGAATTTTTGTCAGTATCAGTTTTTTGAATTTCTCTTGAACGAGATTCCCTCCTTGATGATGGATTAACCTCTGCAACTCTTTCTGAACCAGCGGTCTCTTTGTGTGCATCGACCAAGTCCTGGAATTCTTTGCTCAATGCCAATAACTGATGATATGCAGCTGCATGTAGAATTTCTCCATCTGACATTAACTGCGAATAAATTAACATATGTAAGGCCATTTCTTGTGAATATAACCATTCAATTTCAAATATCAATGTAATTTTACAGAGAATATATCAGGGATTCAAGAGTTCACTTTCTTTTTCTTCTTTAGAAAAACAAGCCATCAATAAGAAGTCATATTAGAAAGAGAAGTTCATCAAGAAAAACTAACCAGAACTACATCAAAAGCAGGAAGAAAATCAACTTGTTGAGTCACAAGTAAGATGGTCTTCCCCGAGAGAGCTCTCATGACATAATCCTGCAAATGACCGGTTCAAATTTGAGCTTGCACGTCAGAAGAAACGATATGAAGCACAATACTATTTCTCACATTGAATAGACTACTAGCAGTATGGGCATCTACAGCACTGAATGGATCATCCAGGAGATATATATCAGCATTATGATACAGTGCGCGAGCAAGTTGAATGCGCTGCTTTTGACCACCACTAAGATTAACTCCTCTTTCACCTATTTCAGTGAGATCACCATAAGGTAGCAACTCAAGGTCTTTTAAAAGTGAACATTTTTTCAATGTTTGCTGGTATCTCTGGTTATCCAGTGGAGAACCAAACAAAATATTTTCTCGTATTGACCCCGTCTGAATCCATGCAGACTGAGAGACATAGGCAATTCTTCCATTAACTTGAACCTGCAGAACACAGAGAATATATATATCAGTTGGGGGGATATGGAATTATTTTCTTGTGCAGGACGTGAAGTAAATTATGTATGTGCTTACAATAATAAACTTTGAGAACCTACTTATCATTTTCCTACCTAGCAAGGAAAACAGTAACTAACCAGTACAACTTACAGTTCCTTGGATACTTGGAACTTCTCCAAGAAGTGCTCCCAGAAGAGTTGACTTTCCTGAGCCCACCTCCCCACATATTGCAATCTTCTCACCGGGTCTAACCTCCAAATTAATATTTCTCAGTGTAGGTCGAGATGAATTCTCTTCCCATGAGAGATTAGCTGATTTGATAAGTATAGCATTATGTGTACTTGCAAAGTTGTGATCCTGCCTAACGTTTGCATTTTCTAGCTCATGGGCCTCAAGGAACTTGACAATCCTTGCAAATGAAACTTTGGCTTGAATCACCACACCAATAACGTCAGGAATGGTTCTTATTGGATCCTGAACAATACGTAAAGTTGCTACAAAGGTGAAAACGTTGCTTGCATGCAGTGGAACACGTAGGAAATAACAAGACCCAAATGTTGCAGCAGAGACCAAAACAGGTGATGACCACAAAAGGAAGACATTATATCCCTTACTCAACTGAACGGCTGATAACCATTTCTCTTCTACTCTCCTCAAACTTTCAATTACACTCTTAAAATGAGTTTCCCATGCATATAATTTCAGAACTTTCATATTCACAAGAGCCTCTGAGATAGCCTTGAGCCTATCATCTTGTGCTACCATTAGCTTGGTCTGGAATTTATGTTGCAACTTTGCTAGCGGAGCGTTGCACAGCACAGTGAGTATAATCACTACCAAGGATGCAAAAGTTGCAAGTCCAACTGCGCGGAAGAGAATGATAAGAGCAAAGCAGAGCTGGACACTTGTTGTCCACGTTTGATGCAACCAAAAAGGAAACTCTCCAATTCGATAAGCATCCACAGTTACATAGTTCATGATTTTGCCGCTAGAATGCATCAGCTTAGCAGCATTGGATAATCTTATTTGCTTCTTATAAATGGCTGCTGTAAGTAAAGACCTTACTTTTAGACCAATTAGTCTGCTCCTGAAGTACCATTGCCTTTGTGACAAGGATTCCAAGTTCTTTGATATAAAAAGCAGAATAGCCAATAAAAATCCCTCATTTTTAAAAGCTACGTCTCCTTCAGCAACCTTAATGAACGCATTAAGAAGCAGAGGACCAGCAGAAAGAGTAGTTATTTTCAGTAGCGCAAAGAATCCTGAGACAATGAGCTCCTTCCAGTGACATAATACAATTGTCTTCAAAATGGACGGCTGGGAAGAGGGATCAACTTGTGTCTGTTTGTTCAGTAGATCCACATACATTAAGTAACAAGATTCAGCACGATCCGCCTCACGCAATGTGGGCATGTCTTCATCCTCAAGAATTTTGTGCTTCCCCTTCTTCATCAGTGGATTCAACCACCAAAATGACATTTGATTAAGAATCCCAGCCTTAGCAAACAGAGTGACAGAGCTAACAGAATCACTTTTACCGATTCCATTGGCAGCACCATTTAAGGGAGTATAAAGATCATTTTTATCTCTCTCTTCATGCTGCAGCCCCTTGTAGGTGCATAACAACAATAAACATGCTCCTACAAAGGACAAAACATCTAGAGCTATCTTCATTGTTACCTCTTTACCAATAATAGCTGCAAAGAGTGACACACTCGCAAAAATTCCAGCAAAGACAAAGGCAAGAATTGACAAGAGCTTCAGAGGGGTTCTTGAAATATGGTTCCCTCGAAGGCTTGCGGTTAAACTTACCGATAACCATGTAATTCCATGAAACAAGATTAGTAACCACCAACGCAGTGGTAATGTACTATGGGTTTTCTTCACCTGGTCAACATAGAGCCAAATGAATAAGGACAAATATATTATCCCCAGGAAACCATTAAAAATAGCAGAAGCCAACTGCAAACGCGAGAACCCAGAAAAACGAGCAGGAATGTTGGTAGATTTTAAATATGACTTGAAAAATAGAGTGAATAGGAAGAACAACAGGAGTATAACATCAAAACAAATGATCAACACATGATTGATACAGGATGAAGGTTGTGCCACGGACATCCAATCAGTACTGCAATCGCAATCCATGCAATGGGCAAATTCAACTCCTGGTATCAAGAAAGTATTAACAAGATCAGACTTCTGAAGAGACATTCCTGTGGAAAAAAAAGAAGTAAAAGAAATTGTATGGTTAAGAATTATTGAAAGGCACAACTTTAGAATCAATTATTTCGACAAACTAGGTTGCAAGCAGTTGTGAAGATGCTCAAAATTAACTCGATGCACCTTAATATATTTCCTTTTTTATGACGTTGGTGTACGGTCAAGCTTGCGCGCTTTAATATGTTGTATATGTCGTCATAAATGTGTATACAGATAAATAGATAAATATGAGCACTACTACATCCACAGACTTCACTACTCAGCTAATCTTTCACCAATGCTAGACAGTGAAATATAACAAAACTAAAAGGCGGAATACATCGACAACCCCTTAAGCTTGCCAGTATATTTCCTTTAGACACTCGAACTAAGGCCTGTTTCAATTGAGCACCGAACCCATTACAAAATGTGCCTATTAGACAATTCCCACTCATACATTACAAAGTGCAGCAAAAATTTCTGGATTAATTTATGTAATTTGGTTTCTTGGTCTGTTGGAACCAATTAAGGTTGGTAGTAATTTATGGAATATCTATATAATGTTGGACAAACTGTTTGTTGGGTGTGCAAACAAAGTCACACATAGATAGCTGAAAAGATTGGAAATATACATATAAGGTGCATTTATCTCTTAATAGTGTGAGGTCTTTTTGGAAATTCATACGAGCTTGGCTCATAACGGACAATATCACATTATGTTAAGAGTATCATTGGGCTGACTTAGCCCAACAACCGGTATCAAAGTCCAGGTTTGGCGGGACGAGTATGACGATGATTGTAGAGTGATGGCGTGGGGCTCGGTTTTCTTCCCCTCACGAGCTTAGAGATGCACGCAGACAAGAAGAAGCTAGTAGCGGGCTTTGGTTGTAATGGGTTCAGGTGCTTAATTGAACCAGGCTTTAGTTCGAGTGTCTGAATGAAATATACCGGCAAATATAAGGGGCTTTAATGTATTCTGCCAAAATATAACTGAAAGAAAGAATGGTTCCAAGAGACCAATCGTTACTTGGTGCTCTGCTCAGCATAAGATAATAAGAAATTCACATGCGAGATTCCAAAATGCATCTAAGAAACAGTAATAAAAGGTCAGACCAAGCCAAAGAAAAAAAAAATGAAAGAACCAAAAACCGGCAAACCAGAGTAAACAAAAAGTTGAAGACAGTAAAAAGGACTAACCAAAATAGCAGAAGGTGGATGACAAAAACGCTGCGAGTCATGGAAATGCCACCAACAGAAAACAATATAATCCTTAAAACCCAGAAGTAATGGTGATTATGTCGTTCATCTTTAAAACTCAGAGCTAGTAATAAGACAGAGGAAAAGATGAAAGGGCGGGTGATTATTTTGGATGGCACAGTACTATACTTTTGGTTGGCTTTATTAACTAAGCTTCTATTACCCAAAAAAACTAAGCTTTAAAAAATCCCTTTTTTTTTTGTCTTATAATCATCACTTAGGTGTTACGTCAAGCACCTAGGAGGTAATAAAAACAATCACTATGTTTCACAAACCGAAGTCAAAAATGAATTGTATAGTGGATCATAATTTGCGGTTTACTCAACATGCAACAACACAAACGCCTTGGCGTATAGGGACAAACTCCATTCCATTGAATGAGTTGACCAAAGAATACATATTTTATGTTATCTTCACAGATGCTCTGTTATCCTAATATCTTTATTTCCTTTGCGCGAACTTATCCACTAATCCAGTTTTTGCAAAGACTGTTCACGTTAATTTAGCGGTGTGATGAACAACGCAAGGCCTTATATACGGTCATTTAATTCAAGAAGACTTATGGAGAAAATTAGTTACTTTGTTTTGTGAACACCCCTTTTTGGGATGCTCGTGATATTTATGTCCGATCTCTAAAAATAATTTAGCTTTTAAAAAGATTAAATAAAAGAACCAAACGATGTAACACCTAAAGTTGTGATCAAACCCATTAGTTACTTTTAGAAAAATCCATTTATTTTGAGAAGTTTATTTTTTCAGCATTTCTTTTTACAAAAGGTATTTTTGGTGAAAAACAGTTTGTGTTTGACTAATTAATTTAAAAAACACTTCTAAGTAAGTAGCAGTTTGTGTTTGACCAAACTTTTAAAAAGTATTTCTAAGTATATTTTTCTCAAAAGTGATTCTCAAAAAAGTATTTCTAGGAAGAAACTACTTTTTTCTGCTTCTACTTCTACTCAAAAATACTTTTTTTTTCTTCTAAAAGTTTGGCCAAACAGTTCAACTTTAAACTTTAAAAAATAAGTGTTTTTCGGTTTGGAGAAGCTCGGCCAAAAAGACTATTTGTTTTGAAAATACACCATTTTGGGATGCTCTGAGTAGTGTTTCTCTTTTCTTTTTTAAGACCCTCATTATATCTAGTAGCTTAAAAAAACAAGGGAAAGAAAAATTTAGTTTATTTTTCCCTCTTTCCACTTTAGCTTTACTCCCGAAACTGAGAAAGAAAACAAGAACCAATTCTAATACTAAGAACAGAGTGATTGTTTTCAACTCTGATGGCACAGACATCAATACTTGTACATTGTAATTCATGATTCATGAGCTAAGTAATGAAGTTAAGCACTAGAGTTATTCAAGCAACTCTAACGAGTAATGTTGCGGAAGTCAAATATATAGAGAGTAATTAAATCACAATTACTATATCTAAAGGTAGCTAATAAATAGTAAATGAGACAATAATAAAAGGAACACCAGAAATTAACGAGGTTCGACAAAATTTAATTTTTGCTTAGTCCTCGGACACAATCAACTCAAACTTTATTTCACTCCAAAAAATACAAGTGAAATACTACAAGTGAGGAAAAAGATTCAAATGCCTTAGGAGATAAGAAGGCAAGTAAGAGATGTTTTCAAATGAACAAAACCCTTGCTATTTATAGAAGGGAAATGACTTTAATAATGTCATGCATGACATCATATTAAGTGTGAACATGCAATGTAAATGCATGAAAAATGCATCTACCAATTTCTTCCTAAAAGGAGGCTTCAAATGTTCACACTAGTTCACATTAATCTTGTCAAATTCAACAAATCTCCACCTTGGCAAGATTCCCCTTTTTTCAATTTTCTCTCACTGATAAATTTTGATTGTGTCTTCAACTTCAATCTTCAAAGTTCAACAATGTTGATCAAGTTCAAACAATGTTAAAACTTGATCGCAGTCACTACTTTTGTTAGCATATCGGCAGGATTGTCTGTAGTTCGAATTTTCTGCACCATGACTCCACCTTCTTCTATAATATCTCGTACAAAGTGATATCGAACATCAATGTGCTTCGTCCTTGCATGATAAACTTGGTTCTTTGCTAATTGGATAGCACTTTGGCTATCACAAAATAGTGTGATGCTTTCTTGACCAATACCAAGCTCTCTAAGCAACCCTTGAAGCCAAATTGCCTCTTTTACAGCCTCCGTAATTGCCATGTACTCTGCCTCAGTAGTAGACAAAGCAACCATTGACTGCAAAGTAGACTTCCAACTAACTGGTGCATTTGCAAAAGTGAAAACATAACCAGTAGTTAATCTACGCTTTTCCAAATCACATGCATAATCCGAGTCACAATATCCAACCAGATACTGACTATCTTCCTGCTCAAAAATCAATCCAAAATCTACAGTATTACGAATATACCGTAGAATTCATTTCATAGCTTGCTAATGCTCCTTTCCTGGATCATGCATATACCTGCTTACAACTACGATAGCATGTGAAATATCAGATCTTGTGCAAACCATTGCATACATCAAACTACCAACGACATTCGCATATGGAACTCTTGACATATACTCTCGTTCAGCTTTATTCTTCGGCGATATAGCAGCACTAAGCTTAAAGTGAGGAGCAAGAGGAGTTCTAACCGATTTCATGTTCTCATTCATGCCAAATCGATCTATTACTCTCTTCAAGTATTCTTTCTGAGATAGATAGAGTTTCTTTGAATGTCTATCTCTTTTTATCTCCATGTCAAGAATTTTCTTCGCCTCACCTAAATCTTTCATCTCAAATTTCTTTCTTAGTTGAATCTTCAACTTCTCAATTTCCTCTTGACTTTTGGAAGCTATCAACATATCATCTACGTATAGGAGAAGATATATGAAGGATCCATCGTCAAGCTTGCGCAAATACACACAATGATCGTATTTGCTTCTTTTGTACTTCTGCCGCAACATAAACTTGTCAAATCATTTATACCATTGTTTAGAAGATTGTTTCAATCCGTACAACGATTTTTTAAGTTTGCACACCATATTTTTCTTTTCAGCAACTTTGAATCCTTCTGGCTGAGTCATATAGATTTCCTCTTCCAAGTCTCCATGTAAAAATACAGTTTTTACATCTAACTAAACTAGTTCCAAATTTAACTGTGCTATCAAAACCAACAAAACTCTAATAGAGGAGTGTTTCACGATTGGAGAAAACACCTCATTGTAATCAATTCCCTCCTTTTGAGCGTACCCTTTGGCCACCAATCTTGCTTTATAGCGAACATCTTCTTGGTTAGGAAATCCTTCTTTCTTTGCAAAGTCATTTGCACCTAATTGCTTTCTTGCCCTTCGGGAGATTGACCAATTTTCATGTGCAATTTCTGATGAAGGGACTGCATTTCTTCATTCATGGCAATCCTACACTTATCTTCTTCTGAACTTTAGACTGTGTCTTTATAAGTGGTAGGAACATCATCAACTACAATTGAGGCTGCACAAGCCACCGTCTCTATGAGACGAACAGGTTTCTTTATTGTTCTTTTTGGCTTGTTGGTTGCTATTGATTCAAGTTGTTATTGGGATTCCTGAGTTGGAATCTCCCCTTCCACTGACTCTTCTTCCAGGGGATAATCTTCTATCGTTTCCTCGTTTTCTCCCTGTGTTGGGAAAATTAATTTTCCCTCAAACTCCACCTGCTTTGAAGCACCATCAGTTTGTTTGACATTTTCAACTGTCACCTTATCTGTTATGGCAGATTCATCAAAGGTAACATCTCTACTGAATATAATTTTTCTTGTCTCTGGACACCATAATCGATATCCTTTAACTCCAGAAGTAATCCCCATAAATATATCTTTCTTTGCCCTCGGATCCAATTTTGACTCTTTCACATGATAGTATGCAATTGAGCTAAACACATGCAAAAAATTATAATCTTCAGCAGGTTTTCCATACCATTTTTCAAATAGTGTCTTTCCTCCAATAGCGGCAGATGGTAGACGATTAATAATGTGGCATGCATATGTTATTGCCTCAGCCCAAAATTCTTTACCCAAGCCAGCACTGGACAACATACACCGAACCTTCTCCAGCAAAGTCCGGTTTATGCGTTCTGCCACTCCATTCTGTTGTGGTGTATTTCTGATGGTGAAATGTCTCAAAATGCATCATCTTCACAAATTTTATTGTAAAGATCATTTTTGTATTCTCCACAATTATCTGTACGAAGATACTTTATCTTTCTGCCTGTTTGAGTCTCTATCATCGCCTTTTATTTGAGAAAAATTTCCAGCACCTCATCTTTGGTTTTCATAGTATACACCCACACTCTCCGGGAAAAGTCATCAATAAAGGTTACAAAATAGTGTTTCCCATCTAATGAAGGTGTTTTGGAAGCACCCCAAACATCAGAGTGAACATAATCCAAAATACCTTTAGTATTATGGATAACTGTTCCAAACTTAATCCTTGTCTGTTTCCCCTTGACACAATGCTCATAAAACTCCAAATTGCAAGTCTTTACTCCTTTTAACAATCCTTGATCTGATAAAATCTTCAAGGATTTTCCTCCAGCATGTCCCCAAGCGCATGTGCCATAGCTTAGTTGCTTCTGCCTCCTTGTCATCATTGGATGTCACCGTTGCTGTCCCAATAACTGTACTACCGTGATAGTGGTACATGTTATTATTTCGTCTAATTCCTTTCATTACCACTAGTGCACCGGAGCATATTCTCATTATCCCATTTTCTGCAATGACTTTGGGCCCCTTTGACTCTAAGGCTCCTACAGAAATGAGATTTTTCTTTAATTCCGGTACGTATCGAACATCTGTAAGGTTCTGATCAATCCATTATGGTTCCTTAATCGGATTGAACCAATACCATATGTGGTAAGAGGATCGTTATTCGCGGCGTGAATAACTCCACATTACCCTTCTTGAAAACCAATGAACCAGTCCCTGTTAGGATACATATGATAGCTACAAGCTGAATCCATCAGCCATATATCAGATGGTTTGAATGGCTCAGTTGTAAACTAGTGAGAAATCAAAGTCGTCACAATTAGCTACATTTGAATCCATGACAGCCTTCCCATTGTTAGGTTTGGCCTTGTTTTTCAACTTTGGACAGTCTTTCTTCCAATACCCCTTTTCTCGGCAAAAGGCGCATTCATCTTTGCTGGGTCTGGATCTTGACTTGGATCTTCCTTTCTTCGTTCTCATATGATTTTGAGAACTACCTCTCACGACCAGTGCTTCTCCTTCTCCACTCTTTTGTTTTTCTCTCTTTCTTTGTTCATAGCTGTACAAGGCAGAACAAACTTCCTTGAGAGACACTTCATCATTCCCATGAAGTAAAGTAGTTTCGAGGTGCTCGT